GCTTCACCTTTATTTTAGTCAGTGTATTGTGATGTCTTAGGATGCTTGCTTGTAGTAATATGTTATTAGATCTTAATTGGGTAATGAAAGGGTGAACGGGCTGGGGAGCCGTGCGGTGAATAATGTGGTTAGTCATCCCGTCTTGCGTAAGCGGGGCTGTTAACGTTGCACTGAGAAGGCTCGTATGGTTACATGCCTTCATTTCCTTCAGTGTGACAGTGCTGGATTTAATTAGATTTTATGGGATCTAAGCTTACAAAAAGGCTCAAAGTTCTGCATTCAAAAACCTGACAAATGGGATGACCTTTCTTTTCCCCTCTGAAGATAAAGGTACCCTGTGTCCCTGGGCCGCTGAATAATCGCAACGAAGCTGTTGCAGGCCGATTGCAGCAAGTTTTGGCTAACCTTTGCAGCAGAGGGGATGGGGCACCGGGGGGGTTGTGCTGCTTGGAGAGGCAGACAAGGGGACAGGTTTCTGGTTAGCAACAGCTGTTAAGCAGTGCTTAATAATGACTTTTCGAAGAAGTAAAACTCTGTTGTAGCAGCTCAGAGTAGATAGGGACAAGCTATTTACTTTCTCTGCTTTCCTAGCTTGCCTCTGTCTTATTAATGAAACATTCTTATGTTCTCGTCCTAAAATTTAGAGACTGTGCATTAGAAAGCAACTAAGTCTTAACATTTTGAATCACTTATATATTTGCATGCATACAGAATGTATACCTGTCAAAATTAAATCTTCTCACAAGAAAATGACTTAACACACAAGTATTCACTTTTTGCTATCATAATGCCCTGCTGTAACCTAGACTTACAGCCAAGATAAGGTATCAACAGTGAACCAAATTCCTTAAGAAAAAATAATGTAAGGATACTCTGCTGAAAGGAATTTGAGGTCTCTTTATGTTTCTTGGTGTGGATCAGCATAGGTCCGTGTTTTGCTAATGCTAAAAGGTGGCTCTTCGGCATCTGGGCAGCAGCTGTGACCAGATTGTGCTTGCACAAAATCTCCAAGCTACAAAGTTTTGTTAGGATATAGCTTTTCACAGCCATATTGAGGAATGTTTATGAGATGTTTTCCTAGTATAAGTATGTTAGGCAAACACATCTAAGATTTTTTAATGCGATGGAGATAATTTGCATCTTTTATTAGGCCTGGAATAGCTTTGGATGAAACAACCTATTTCTCACAGCCTTTCACATAAGGAAAGGCCTGCTGTTTCTTGGGAATAAAGCATATTGGAGACAGTGAATGTGCTGCTCTAGGGATGCCTTTGGCTCATGACTTGGTACTGGAGACAGAACAAGGTTTGACTGGGAAGGAGCCCACTGGAGCTGACAGACTCTTAAATTTTTGGAGTGGTTCCTGTTTGTAAACCTAGATTTTGTGGCTGCTTGAAATGCACACTGCAAGGGCTTTTGTACATGAGTGGACTTGATCTACCAAATATTATGGTTCCTGCTTATAGCGGGCTTGTGCTGCAAAGCAGGAAGGCTGCACACTGGGTGTTCTCCTCTGAGCCCTCACTACTTTGTATTTGTTGAAGGCTGGCTGGGAGCACTTTGCCCTTATTTGACCCATGACAGTTTTGTTTTGCTTTTTTTAATTGGTAAAGTAAATAGGAAACGGTCAGTATTTAATTCTGAGAGGAAACAGCAAGTGATCCCAACACTTCTGAATGGTTTCAAAGAACTGGCTGAACCAAGGACTCGCTTAAAAATCAGGCTTTATTCCTTTCAACTCCAAAGAGAACAGACACTGTCTGTTTGGATGTGGCTTGAATAACCTTTTTAAGGCTAAAATTCAGGGGAATTGATTTAGGTTAAGTGTCCTAGAAACTTCATACGTCTAAACAGCCACTTAAAATTTCAACACGGGGGGCAACAAAACCAATGCAAACTCATGCTTTTTTAGCAGCTCTATTTCATGGCTTTAATTCAGTGCCAATATGGAATTTTCCTTTTGCCCTGCAAATCCTCTCATCACCTTATAGTAGCCAACTGCGATGTGAAACATTTATGCCAAATGTGACGCCCTGCTTACCCGCAGGTCCGGACACACAAGCAAAGTGCTGCGAGGCGAGCGGAGCTGCCAGTGCTGCCGTGTTCCGTGGCAGCATCAGAATGATCTTAGCTTCAGTTAGAGCAAAAAACTTATCCATTTCTCCCCGGAGGATAAAAGCAGGCACCTTTGTAAAGCTGAGCAGTTAATGAGCATCAGTTAACATGCTAGTTTATCTTTCAGTAATTAGTTCTGTTTAACTGACCTGATGCCACACAGGGCAGTGATGCCAAGGATACTTCTATGTATAATTCTTTTTCTGTGATGTCATTTCTGTCTCTCTGTTTCCCCCGAGTTGTCAGTGCAATGGTTAAAATGAAACTTCTTATGCAGTGGAAAGAGTTAATGCTCTCCTTAAATTGGAATTGTTGTATGGGGCAAAAAAAAGGCTATGGAGCTGTGTTTTGAAAATATCCCAAATCTGTCTATTTGCAGACAAATCAATGACAATGTGGATTTGCAAACTCTCACGACTTGAATAGCTCTCCCAGCCCCCGCGTTTGGTAGGTGCTTGTCTGGGGCTTTGGGAACTTGCCTCGTGTTTAGTCTAATGGTGCAATCTCTTAGATTGCAAAAAAAAATTTCACCATGCAACAGGCATGAATAATGAGTTGCTAAGCTGTCTGGAGTTACCCTTTTGGGAAAGATAACCTTAAAATATAATGAAAACTTAAGTGGAGCTGTCGTCTCTTTTCTCTAGCTGTTCTCAGGGCTTTCAGTGCTTGCTACTGGTCCAGCTCTGGTCTGACCCCACGTTTGGTGAACTCTTACATGTTGAGCTTGTCATATCCTTTCACTTGGTCCAAACTGGATTTTGAGTTGTAAAGGTAGAAAGGAAATGGTGTGTCTGGTAGTGGGCTGGTCTGTTTCCTCTCGTGGCTTTTAAAATAATTTGAATTTCAGGACAGAATCATACAGATATAGAAAGATCAGTGCCAGATGAGCTTCACCTTTGCAATCCCTAGCCCTAGTATGAACCCTTTAATCGTGTCAGTAATGCTGTGGGGGTAACACGGGCGATAACCCGCTGCTTTTGCTAGGCTGGGTGAGTGTCTGTCGCTGTGCCTGCTTGCGACGCTCGCTCCTATGAAGCCGGGCACAGGCAGCCAGGACCGGAGCCCAAGGAGCTTGCTTGGTGTTTGCTGGGGTTCCTCGGCAAGGAGTTTAAATTGCAGGCAAAACTAGCAGGAATTTGAGCATTTTATTGAAGCAATTTATGTGCTGCTTTCCCGAATCCTCAAATATGCAGCTGGGGTGACTTGTTTTGCTTAATGCTTCAGCATCTGGTGGCAATTCTAGTTATATTGGAGTGACACACGTGTTGCCAGCAAATTGGTTGTTTGTAGGACAAGCTGCTTTGGAACTACTCAAAATAGCCTGGGATCTCAGAAAATAGGATTGTGGACTTTGGAGATGCTTTCTGTTTTTTTTTTCTGTCCAGAAATTACTTTTGCCTTTGGTCATGATTTAAATAGAAAAAAAAATCATATTTCCAAACTGTTTGTAAACATGACCTCAAAATCAGAGCATATAGGAAAATGGGTTTGGTTTGCAGTGAGAAGGAACTTCCTTTTGGCTGAGAGCTGCTGCTTTATCATGGCAAGTCGACCTAGCTCAAGAGCTGCCGTTCCCCTTCTCCCCTGTGGACTGCAGTTTCCAGCAAGAAGGGATGTGCAGTAACGTCCCAGGGTCTCCACCTGCTCCCGAGGGCAGAAGTGACCAGTGGCAGATGTGGCGGTGTCTTGGTTGCTGCAGGACTGAGTCCCGCGGTCACGCTTGAGATCGCGGCGCTGCCTGAGCCTCTGCGCCAGGGCAGCCACCACGGTGGCTTCGCGTGGTGGTTGTGGGCCCTGTGAGCTGAGGTGATGTGGGCAGGTTTGCTGAAGCCTGTGTCAGTGGTGCGAGGTGACAGAGAGGTCCCCATGATGTGCTGGTTTCTCCAGCCCGAGTGATGCACAGGCAGGCACCCTGGCCACAATTTGTAAAAGCAAAACACAGCTGATACTGATATATGAATACTCTCTGAGCGTTAGGCGAGAGTAGAAAACTTTACCTCCTCTTAAAATTTGAAGAATTTCCTTGGCATGTTCCAAAAAAAAAAAAAAAAAAGTGGCTTTTAGATTGTAAAGTAATGAAGTAGTGACTGCAGACGAGCTGCTCTTTGACAGGGACTAACTTTATTAGCTGCTGCTAGGTCAGTGATAAGGAATGTGTATGGAGGGTTCTTAATTTTATTTGGCACCCATGTTCTAATCTCTGTATTTGACCAGGTAAATTGAATGCAAACGTTTTCTGCGCCTGGTTATCTCAGGCATCCTGCAGCCTCGAAGGAGCAGAGCTGCGTACGCAGTGTCACTGAGCGGCTGTCAGAGGCGCGTTCAGGTGTTCCCAGCCTGGCTCTGCATCCAGGTCCCTGGGAATTTGATTTTTTATTGGTCTGAAAACATTCAGCTCTTTTTTTCTGCACAATGGTGCTAATTTGCTTACTGTACAACACCTGGCATGGCACCTAAGGTGAGGAGAGATATTAGGGCATGAATAGCTTGGACTTGACTTGTGCTGCTAGAGCCCTGCATGGCTGCTCTCAGTATTTGTTTAAATCCTAGGAGGTGGGAGTTTGTGCTCATCTCCCACCAGTGCCTTTGTGCCAGGTAATTTATATCCATATGCTCAGAGTATGTTATTTCTGGGCCTAATGCATCAGTTGCTGTGGAAGGATATAAGCAGTGCAGCTTTGTGTTTTCTGCTTCAAAGTGAATATCTAACCCTCTTTCTCTGAATCTATATCCAAAATATTTTCCTTTCTGAGATATCTCCATTCATATTTGCAGAAGCTCAAGTTCCATACAAGGGTGTTTGTCACAATACTGGTTGTCTCAAAGTGGCTCAGTATGTTTGGGTGCCTATTGGAAGCATTCTTTTTTCTTCTTTTTCTAGGACGTGGAAATCTGAGAAATGAACAAATTACGGCAAAGCTTTAGGAGAAAGAAAGATGTCTATGTCCCAGAGGCCAGCAGGCCTCATCAGTGGCAGACTGATGAAGAAGGTGTTCGTACTGGCAAGTGTAGCTTTCCTGTTAAGGTAAGAGCTCCTGCCTTTCCTTTGGTCAGCCATGCGAAACTCTTGCCATGAAGTATTATTTGGGTTTTTCTGGCAAGCATAAGCCAGCCCATGCTTCATTACACAGTGACCTATTTTACAGCTAGCTCTCATTGCAGAGGATGTGGGCTTTTTATTTTAAAAAGCCCCATGAATCATGTAACAAATGTCTTGGAAAATTGCTGTCTGATAAACTACATCATTGAAATAAATCATGTAGCTAGGCGGAGAACTAATATAATATTTGTTTTCATTTTTCTGGAAGAGCAGAAATGATAAACCCTTTAGACTGCATAGGAAAAGTACTTAGCTTGGTTTATTAAAAGTGAAAGTATGAGTTGCAGTTTTGCTTGAAAGGTAAGCTGTGGGCTGTGCTTGGCAAGGAAGCCTTGTGGCCTTTCTGTAATTGAAAATGTTCCAAAAATTGAAAGAGTTGCAAAAATAATAGCAGTCTTCCAGCACTTGTAGTGTAAGCAGTTGCTAAGTTTTGAAAGTATCTCTTGCCTTATGATATATATAATATGTAGTATATATGTACTTTTATATTTATGTATATTTACGTGCACTCATTATATAATATGTAAAAATAGAGTGTGTCTATCTTTATTAGAAATTATTAATGCATTTGGAACTTTAACTTCTTGGATTCCTTGGTCTTCATTCTAGATCGCATATTATAAAGAGTTGTTTTTTCATGTCATTTCTGCTTCCCTTAAGATCTGTGCTTTGCCCTCCTGTACCTATACTGAAAAGCCTTTCTGAGTTGCTTCATATGAGGAGGGTCTTAGCACACTGCCTCCCTATGCTTGTCAGTGCCTATACTGAACAGTATAGGATAGCTCCAAAGGTGCAGGCGCTGCTTGGTAGAGAAAAAGCAGATAATTAGGGTGTTTTGCTGCATACACTCTGTAACCAAAACCTTCCCCCCTCAAGGCACGCTAATACTCTCTCTGTAATAGGTCTTTAGCTGCTGACGCTAAAAGCTTCAGGTTTAAGTATCTCTTCATAAGGAAAACAATGTCTATGCTTCTGGCACCTAAGGATCTTTTATTAGTTTTCATCTGTGTTCTACCTGAAGTAATTCTGTGCAGTCATTAAAGAAGTGATGTTGCTAGGTGGGACCCCCCAAAGTGGCTCTTGGCTGTGGCGTATTTTTGTAAAGCTGTGGGTACGTGTGGATGCGCAGGAAATTGGACATAACTTTCATACTAAATTTATTCTCTGTGTTATCCTAATGCAATTGCTTGTGTGTGCTCTTAAGGACGTTCATGTGCATCTAACATGCAAACCAATGTCCTAGCTTGTTAGGGTACTTATTCCTTTGCCCTTGTCCTACATTAGCTTTGCATTAGCACTGAGGACATGAGCATGGTGGAAGGAAGGGCTGGTGCTTTGTCAGGCCTTCTGGGACTGCTCAGTGCCTGCTTGAGCTCAAAGCGTGTTTTTTTTTTTAAATATTAACACTGTGCAGGTAAGAAATTTATGTTTAATTAGATTGAAATTCACTTGTACAGTTAATCTGTCCATTAGAAAAAAATTGCTCTGCAGTAAATGCATTTTTACTTAGGTTTCCATGTTCAGTCAGAAAGATCGGCTGCTCCTGCTCAAAGAAGCTGTAACGAGGTGAAAACTTCTCATCAGCACAACTTGCTGTCAGGTGGAGCGGTAGCTTATTCAGCTGGGATTCCTCTCCTAAATTACTGTGTCTTGAGGTGGACAGCAGTGGAAAGTTTTGTTAGGTTGGGGTGCCGAGTGGGTGTTAGCTAGAGCTCAGCAGATAGAGGCAGGAAGTATGCCATTGTGAGCCACCAAGATAAACCAGATGTGGAGTCATCAGGTTAGTGGGTGGTACTATATTTTGCTCGCGCAAAGAATAGGACTTTGTGCTACTGAAGGAGAGCATCCTGTCACGCAGCTCTTGGGTATTATTCAGAAATATATATGCGCCAGGAAAAGCTGTCACCCATTGCCTTAAATATCTGATGGGGTGACTTTTTTTCCCCAGTGGAGCAGGAGATACTGAGATGTCTTGGAAAAAATGCAGTCTGAAACATAATGAGAACTTTTTTTTTCCTTTAATTTCTAAGTCACCATTCCAGAGTGGTCTGTTGCCTGCAGTGTATCTACTCAAACACAGTTTAACATGTTTTATGGTGGTTATGTTTGACCCTGATCTTTGTTGTCAGCCTTTTGCACTCTGAAAATTATCAGCATGGTTCTTCAGAGCTCAAAATCTGCCTAAGTGGCAAGACTGGAGTGCCACCTCTAAAGAGATGACAATTATTTTACCTGTGGAGAAGACCTGAGAATTGTTAACAGACATCTCTGCAGCTATAGTTAAGGTTTCCTTTCTGAAAGAAAAAATTGTGAAAGTAACGTAGTAGGAACTACGGTGAAGTCTTTGCTGCTTTTAATACTTACTAAATTATTTAGCTATGATTCTTAAGTTCTGTTTTTTGGGAAGAGGAGACTGGTGTGAAAGCAGAGTAGCGAAGGTTTGCTCTTGGTTTCTCACTAGGCAGATCAAGAGAGTGTGATGGGAGAAAGATATATCATGCTCTTGAACTAGTGTTAATTTGGTGTGTGTTTAGTTTCTTGCCTTCAGGCCTTTCTTTCCCTTGGAGTCAGGGTGTTTGTAGAGTGCTACCACAGATTTCTCTCTTTAACTTTTACAGAACATATGGAACCACTTTGAAAGTCCTGGTGCAAAGCAAATTTCATCTCACCCCCAGGCTCTGTCTAGGAGTGTTGGACAGTTGCTCCAGAGGCTGCTGCTCCTTGTGCTTTGAGGATGCTGCTCTGCAAACAAATTTGATGTTATTAAAAGGCTTTCTCCACCAGCACTGTTGATAGATTTCCTGTGCTGCATTAACAGCTGACCCCTAGTGTAAATTACAGTGGCAGAGGATTTTGACTAAATCTGCACTGTGAGATGTTTCTTTTGTGGTAGAGTGTGTTTTCTGTGGAAACTATTGGTCAAACTCCTGCTACAGAGTTACCTTAAAATTGGGGGAAGTGGATTTGATGCGCAGGTGGTTCCCTTCATTCTGCGCTGGGGCACGTGCTGTGCCCCTGGGCATGCGCCGCTCCTCTTGGGCAGTCACAGCCTGTGCTTCGCTTTAGCACTCTGTTTCCCCACAGAATGGCAGCAGTGTGTGGAGCAGGCGCCCAGGGTGCTGCCTTGGGCAGGTTACCAGCACATGGAGGTTATCGTCCCCACGCTGCCTTCTGAACACGAGGAGGTGGTAAGCCAGCACTCCCCAAATCGCGTCTGGGAACGGCACGCAGCCTTCCTGCATGGCTCTTCCGTGGAAACTGTTTGGAATTGGCTAAAAGTGCAAAAAAGAGCCATAATACTGGAACATAAAACAATTTTTTGCGCTTTGTCGCATCAGGGGAGATGGATACCTGGCTGTCGGCAGAAGTATGAGAGGGTTATTAGGCTTACGTTGTTAGACAAGTGTGACTTGCGGACTGTTAATGTCTCTTAGGCACATGGCCTTAATGCTCTATTAACTCTTGTGCTATGAAGGCACAATACATTGCATCTTTTATAGATCTGCTCAAAATTACCCCTTCATTTTTCCTGTGAAACTGTTTCACCTGCTGAAAAATGTGCACAGAGTTTTATTTTCAAAGGTGATCATGCTCTTCCACTGTCCTACAGAAATTAACCACTGTGTTTCAGCAGCAAATCCTCCCTCTGTGGGGGGAAAAAAACTTTGCCAGAATATGTAATGTATAAGAGACTTGGATGGAGACATTGTGTTTGAAACTATTCAGTAGATTATTCTAACAGATGATAAAGCCACTCTTATCAATGATATAATTTCTTTCTACACAGTCTTCATAAATCTTAATAGCAAAAATTGACATACACATTTTAAAAATTGCTGCCTTGCTCCAGACACTACCTCACTGAGAACATGCAGCTGGTCTATGTTTTAATGACTAAAGTATTTGACACTAGGGCTTCTTTTGTCTGAAATGCCTTTTCAAATGTCCCTCTGGGTAAGTATTTTTTATTCATACAAATGCACTTTAGAATAACTGGCCTGTGAAATTTCTATCAGAAAAATTAGGTCATTTCCCTCTGCATAACAGAACTAAACAAATCAAATATTTGGAAGTTCTTGGTTCTTCAGACCAGTTGAACATGGTAAATAGAATAGTGATAGCTGATTTCCACTTGCGAGTCTGGACGACTCAACAGTCCGAGGTATCAGAGATTGATTTGTTGCATATTTTCTCTGGTCAGTCTCTCTTGACCTTAATGTGTCCAAGACTACTACTGATTTTACTTATATATTTAAGTATTTTATTCTGTTTTGAAGACTAAACGGACTTCAGTTAGTGAAGTCTCTGAGAGAGAGATGTCTGCCAGAAATTCACATGTTTAATCCCAAAGTCCATGGTTTGTTGCTGAATGCCTGGTATCATGGGAACTAGCCTTTCCATTAAATCTTGATTTCTGGTTACTGTTGACAAATGAAAATTATATCGGTATGTTTACACACGCACGAACTAATTTCAGAGCCAATATTCTTCACTGGTTTTCCTGTTTAGCCCTTGCAATGGTGGGGGAAGTTTAGATGATGTTGTGTTGCTTTATGTTCAAACCCCCATAGAAGAAGAGGAGATGACTTGCACTGAGCCTTGTAGCTTATTCTGCCTGAGACTTCTGAGTGTCACTTCCCATCTCTGGTATCCCTGCGACACAGGAGCTGGTTACATAATTAGCTTGTTCACGGCTCTGCTGCTGAAACTGCCAGCAGTAGAAAATAGGCCACTTCTGTCACCGAGCTTGGGCTCTCGCAGCTCTAGGAGCTGCCTGGTTGTTGTCTTCATTTTGCAATTTTCATATTGAACCCTATTGCTTCGTGTCTAACTATAAATCTCATCTTAAACATTAAAATAAATACTGGCCAGCAGGTTGATGTTTAAGTGCCTCTGTGTTAAATGTATTATGTTTTTGACCATGA